CGCCATTCTACTACCCTCCTCTACCGTTGCCATTGCCAGGTAATCATCAATTCTTTCTTCAATCACTACTAGAAAAAGGAGAAGGGGGATTTTAACAACAAACTTTCCAGAATGGGATATCTAAAATCGGCAGGCAAACGATGTCGCAAATTTATTCAAATCTTCTCTGAGCCAGTCAAGAACGTTCCTGTTTTGAACGAAAGCTAAAAATGGCCAATATTTCACTGACGTTCCTCATGTGCAAAAATTAATCACTTGATTAATGAGGCAATTATCTAAAGTGCCTTGTAATCTCTTTACATACAGTGCCTAATATAAAAGTTCTTCCAGTTCCAAGACCGCCGTTCTACTACCCTCCTCTACCGTTGCCATTGCCAGATAATCATCAATTCTTTCTTCAATCACTACTAGTGAAAAGATTTGAACAACAAACTTTCCACGATGGGATATTTAAAATCGGCAGGCACACGATATCGAAAATTTATTCAAATCTTCTCTGAGCCAGTCAAGAACGTCCCTGTTTTGAACGAAAGCTAAACATGGCCAATATTTCATTGACGTTTATGATGCGCAAAAATTAATCACTTGATTAATGAGGCAATTATCTAAAGTGCCTTGTAATCTCTTTACATACAGTGCCTAATATAAAAGTTCCTCCAGTTCCAAGACCGCCATTCTACTACCCTCCTCTACCGTTGCCATTGCCAGGTAATCATCAATTCTTTCTTCAATCACTACTAGAAAAAGGAGAAGGGGGATTTTAACAACAAACTTTCCAGAATGGGATATCTAAAATCGGCAGGCAAACGATGTCGCAAATTTATTCAAATCTTCTCTGAGCCAGTCAAGAACGTTCCTGTTTTGAACGAAAGCTAAAAATGGCCAATATTTCACTGACGTTCCTCATGTGCAAAAATTAATCACTTGATTAATGAGGCAATTATCTAAAGTGCCTTGTAATCTCTTTACATACAGTGCCTAATATAAAAGTTCTTCCAGTTCCAAGACCGCCGTTCTACTACCCTCCTCTACCGTTGCCATTGCCAGGTAATCATCAATTGTTTCCTCAATCACTGCTCGTGAAAAGGAGAAGCGGGATTTTAACAAGAAACTTTCCAGAATGGGATATGTAAAATCGGCAGGCAAACGATGTCTAAAATTTATTCAAATCTTCTCTGAGCCAGTCAAGAACGTTCCTGTTTTGAAGGAAAGCTAAAAATGGCCAATATTTCACTGACGTTCATCATGTGCAAAAATTAATCACTTGATTAATGAGGCAATTATCTAAAGTGCCTTGTAATCTCTTTACATACAGTGCCTATTATAAAATTTCCTCCAGTTCCAAGACCGCCATTCTACTACCGTCCTCTACCGTTGCCATTGCCAGGTAATCATCAATTGTTTCTTCAATCACTACTCGTGAAAAGGAGAAGGGGGATTTTAACAACAAACTTTCAAGGATGGGATATCTAAAATCGGCAGGCAAACGATGTCGCAAATTTATTCAAATCTTCTCTGAGCCAGTCAAGAACGTTCCTGTTTTGAACGAAAGCTAAAAATGGCCAATATTTCATTGACGTTTATGATGCGCAAAAATTAATCACTTGATTAATGACGCAATTATCTAAAGTGCCTTGTAATCTCTTTACATACAGTGCCTAATATAAAAGTTCCTCCAGTTCCAAGACCGCCATTCTACTACCCTCCTCTACCGTTGCCATTGCCAGGTAATCATCAATTCTTTCTTCAATCACTACTCGTGAAAAGGAGAAGGGGGATTTTAACAACAAACTTTCCAGGATGGGATATCTAAAATCGGCAGGCAAACGATGTCGCAAATTTATTCAAATCTTCTCTGAGCCAGTCAAGAACGTTCCTGTTTTGAACGAAAGCTAAAAATGGCCAATATTTTACTGACGTTCCTCATGTGCAAAAATTAATCACTTGATTAATGACGCAATTATCTAAAGTGCCTTGTAATCTCTTTACATACAGTGCCTAATATAAAATTTCCTCCAGTTCCAAGACCGCCGTTCTACTACCCTCCTCTACCGTTGCCATTGCCAGATAATCATCAATTCTTTCTTCAATCACTACTAGTGAAAAGATTTGAACAACAAACTTTCCACGATGGGATATTTAAAATCGGCAGGCACACGATATCGAAAATTTATTCAAATCTTCTCTGAGCCAGTCAAGAACGTCCCTGTTTTGAACGAAAGCTAAACATGGCCAATATTTCATTGACGTTTATGATGCGCAAAAATTAATCACTTGATTAATGAGGCAATTATCTAAAGTGCCTTGTAATCTCTTTACATACAGTGCCTAATATAAAAGTTCCTCCAGTTCCAAGACCGCCATTCTACTACCCTCCTCTACCGTTGCCATTGCCAGGTAATCATCAATTCTTTCTTCAATCACTACTAGAAAAAGGAGAAGGGGGATTTTAACAACAAACTTTCCAGAATGGGATATCTAAAATCGGCAGGCAAACGATGTCGCAAATTTATTCAAATCTTCTCTGAGCCAGTCAAGAACGTTCCTGTTTTGAACGAAAGCTAAAAATGGCCAATATTTCACTGACGTTCCTCATGTGCAAAAATTAATCGCTTGATTAATGACGCAATTATCTAAAGTGCCTTGTAATCTCTTTACATACAGTGCCTAATATAAAAGTTCTTCCAGTTCCAAGACCGCCGTTCTACTACCCTCCTCTACCGTTGCCATTGCCAGGTAATCATCAATTCTTTCTTCAATCACTACTAGTGAAAAGGAGAAGGGGGATTTTAACAACAAACTTTCCACGATGGGATATTTAAAATCGGCAGGCACACGATTTCGAAAATTTTTTCAAATCTTCTCTGAGCCAGTCAAGAACGTCCCTGTTTTGAACGAAAGCTAAACATGGCCAATATTTCATTGACGTTTATGATGCGCAAAAATTAATCACTTGATTAATGACGCAATTATCTAAAGTGCCTTGTAATCTCTTTACATACAGTGCCTAATATAAAAGTTCCTCCAGTTCCAAGACCGCCATTCTACTACCCTCCTCTACCGTTGCCATTGCCAGGTAATCATCAATTCTTTCTTCAATCACTACTAGAAAAAGGAGAAGGGGGATTTTAACAACAAACTTTCCAGGATGGGATATCTAAAATCGGCAGGCAAACGATGTCGCAAATTTATTCAAATCTTCTCTGAGCCAGTCAAGAACGTTCCTGTTTTGAAGGAAAGCTAAAAATGGCCAATATTTCACTGACGTTCATCATGTGCAAAAATTAATCACTTGATTAATGAGGCAATTATCTAAAGTGCCTTGTAATCTCTTTACATACAGTGCCTATTATAAAATTTCCTCCAGTTCCAAGACCGCCATTCTACTACCGTCCTCTACCGTTGCCATTGCCAGGTAATCATCAATTCTTTCTTCAATCACTACTAGTGAAAAGGAGAAGGGGGATTTTAACAACAAACTTTCCACGATGGGATATTTAAAATCGGCAGGCACACGATATCGAAAATTTATTCAAATATTCTCTGAGCCAGTCAAGAACGTCCCTGTTTTGAACGAAAGCTAAACATGGCCAATATTTCATTGACGTTTATGATGCGCAAAAATTAATCACTTGACGAATGACGCAATTATCTAAAGTGCCTTGTAATCTCTTTACATACAGTGCCTAATATAAAAGTTCCTCCAGTTCCAAGACCGCCATTCTACTACCCTCCTCTACCGTTGCCATTGCCAGGTAATCATCAATTCTTTCTTCAATCACTACTCGTGAAAAGGAGAAGGGGGATTTTAACAACAAACTTTCCATGATGGGATATTTAAAATCGGCAGGCAAACGATGTCGAAAATTTATTCAAATCTTCTCTGAGCCAGTCAAGAACGTTCCTGTTTTGAACGAAAGCTAAAAATGGCCAATATTTCACTGACGTTCATCATGTGCAAAAATTAATCACTTGATTAATGAGGCAATTATTTAAAGTGCCTTGGAATCTCTTTACATACAGTGCCTAATATAAAATTTCCTCCAGTTCCAAGACCGCCATTCTACTACCCTCCTCTACCGTTGCCATTGCCAGGTAATCATCAATTCTTTCTTCAATCACTACTAGAAAAAGGAGAAGGGGGATTTTAACAACAAACTTTCCACGATGGGATATTTAAAATCGGCAGGCAAAGGATGTCGAAAATGTATTCAAATCTTCTCTGAGCCAGTCAAGAACGTTCCTGTTTTGAACGAAAGCTAAAAAGGGCCAATATTTCACTGACGTTCATCATGTGCAAAAATTAATCACTTGATTAATGACGCAATTATCTAAAGTGCCTTCTAATCTCTTTACATACAGTGCCTAATATAAAAGTTCCTCCAGTTCCAAGACCGCCATTCTACTACCCTCCTCTACCGTTGCCATTGCCAGGTAATCATCAATTCTTTCTTCAATCACTACTCGTGAAAAGGAGAAGGGGGATTTTAACAACAAACTTTCCAGGATGGGATATCTAAAATCGGCAGGCAAACGATGTCGCAAATTTATTCAAATCTTCTCTGCGCCAGTCAAGAACGTTCCTGTTTTGAACGAAAGCTAAAAATGGCCAATATTTAGCTGACGTTCCTCATGTGCAAAACTTAATCACTTGATTAATGACGCAATTATCTAAAGTGCCTTGTAATCCCTTTACATACAGTGCCTAATATAAAAGTTCCTCCAGTTCCAAGACCGCCGTTCTACTACCCTCCTCTACCGTTGCCATTGCCAGGTAATCATCAATTCTTTCTTCAATCACTACTAGTGAAAAGGAGAAGGGGGATTTTAACAACAAACTTTCCACGATGGGATATTTAAAATCGGCAGGCACACGATATCGAAAATTTATTCAAATCTTCTCTGAGCCAGTCAAGAACGTTCCTGTTTTGAACGAAAGCTAAAAATGGCCAATATTTCACTGACGTTCCTCATGTGCAAAAATTAATCACTTGATTAATGAGGCAATTATCTAAAGTGCCTTGTAATCTCTTTACATACAGTGCCTAATATAAAAGTTCCTCCAGTTCCAAGACCGCCATTCTACTACCCTCCTCTACCGTTGCCATTGCCAGGTAATCATCAATTCTTTCTTCAATCACTACTAGAAAAAGGAGAAGGGGGATTTTAACAACAAACTTTCCTCGATGGGATATTTAAAATCGGCAGGCAAACGATATCGAAAATTTATTCAAATCTTCTCTGAGCCAGTCAAGAACGTTCCTGTTTTGAACGAAAGCTAAACATGGCCAATATTTCATTGACGTTTATGATGCGCAAAAATTAATCACTTGATTAATGAGGCAATTATCTAAAGTGCCTTGTAATCTCTTTACATACAGTGCCTAATATAAAAGTTCCTCCAGTTCCAAGACCGCCATTCTACTACCCTCCTCTACCGTTGCCATTGCCAGGTAATCATCAATTCTTTCTTCAATCACTACTAGAAAAAGGAGAAGGGGGATTTTAACAACAAACTTTCCACGATGGGATATTTAAAATCGGCAGGCAAACGATATCGAAAATTTATTCAAATCTTCTCTGAGCCAGTCAAGAACGTTCCTGTTTTGAACGAAAGCTAAAAATGGCCAATATTTCACTGACGTTCCTCATGTGCAAAAATTAATCACTTGATTAATGAGGCAATTATCTAAAGTGCCTTGTAATCTCTTTACATACAGTGCCTAATATAAAAGTTCCTCCAGTTCCAAGACCGCCATTCTACTACCCTCCTCTACCGTTGCCATTGCCAGGTAATCATCAATTCTTTCTTCAATCACTACTAGAAAAAGGAGAAGGGGGATTTTAACAACAAACTTTCCTCGATGGGATATTTAAAATCGGCAGGCAAACGATATCGAAAATTTATTCAAATCTTCTCTGAGCCAGTCAAGAACGTTCCTCTTTTGAAGGAAAGCTAAAAATGGCCAATATTTCACTGACGTTCATCATGTGCAAAAATTAATCACTTGATTAATGAGGCAATTATCTAAAGTGCCTTGTAATCTCTTTACATACAGTGCCTATTATAAAATTTCCTCCAGTTCCAAGACCGCCATTCTACTACCGTCCTCTACCGTTGCCATTGCCAGGTAATCATCAATTGTTTCCTCAATCACTACTCGTGAAAAGGAGAATGGGGATTTTAACAACAAACTTTCCAGGATGGGATATTTAAAATCGGCAGGCAAACGATGTCTAAAATTTATTCAAATCTACTCTGAGCCAGTCAAGAACGTTCCTGTTTTGAACGAAAGCTAAAAATGGCCAATATTTCACTGACGTTCATCATGTGCAAAAAGTGATCACTCGATTAATGAGGCAATTATTTAAAGTGCCTTGCAATCTCTTTACATACAGTGCCTAAAATAAGAGTTCTTCCAGTTCCAAGACCGCCATTCTACTACCCTCCTCTACCGTTGCCACTGCCAGGTAATCATCAATTGTTTCCTCAATCACTGCTCGTGAAAAGAAGAACGGGGATTTTAACAAAAAACTTTCCAGGATGGGATATTTAAAATCGGCAGGCAAACGATGTCGAAAATTTATTCAAATCTTCTCTGAGCCAGTCAAGAACGTTCCTCTTTTGAAGGAAAGCTAAAAATGGCCAATATTTCACTGACGTTCATCATGTGCAAAAATTAATCACTTGATTAATGAGGCAATTATCTAAAGTGCCTTGTAATCTCTTTACATACAGTGCCTATTATAAAATTTCCTCCAGTTCCAAGACCGCCATTCTACTACCGTCCTCTACCGTTGCCATTGCCAGGTAATCATCAATTGTTTCCTCAATCACTACTCGTGAAAAGGAGAATGGGGATTTTAACAACAAACTTTCCAGGATGGGATATTTAAAATCGGCAGGCAAACGATGTCTAAAATTTATTCAAATCTACTCTGAGCCAGTCAAGAACGTTCCTGTTTTGAACGAAAGCTAAAAATGGCCAATATTTCACTGACGTTCATCATGTGCAAAAAGTGATCACTCGATTAATGAGGCAATTATTTAAAGTGCCTTGCAATCTCTTTACATACAGTGCCTAAAATAAGAGTTCTTCCAGTTCCAAGACCGCCATTCTACTACCCTCCTCTACCGTTGCCACTGCCAGGTAATCATCAATTCTTTCGTCAATCACTACTCGTGAAAAGGAGAATGGGGATTTTAACAACAAACTTTCCAGGATGGGATATTTAAAATCGGCAGGCAAACGATGTCTAAAATTTATTCAAATCTACTCTGAGCCAGTCAAGAACGTTCCTGTTTTGAACGAAAGCTAAAAATGGCCAATATTTCACTGACGTTCATCATGTGCAAAAAGTGATCACTCGATTAATGAGGCAATTATTTAAAGTGCCTTGCAATCTCTTTACATACAGTGCCTAAAATAAGAGTTCTTCCAGTTCCAAGACCGCCATTCTACTACCCTCCTCTACCGTTGCCACTGCCAGGTAATCATCAATTGTTTCCTCAATCACTGCTCGTGAAAAGAAGAACGGGGATTTTAACAAAAAACTTTCCAGGATGGGATATTTAAAATCGGCAGGCAAACGATGTCTAAAATTTATTCAAATCTTCTCTGAGCCAGTCAAGAACGTTCCTCTTTTGAAGGAAAGCTAAAAATGGCCAATATTTCACTGACGTTCATCATGTGCAAAAATTAATCACTTGATTAATGAGGCAATTATCTAAAGTGCCTTGTAATCTCTTTACATACAGTGCCTATTATAAAATTTCCTCCAGTTCCAAGACCGCCATTCTACTACCGTCCTCTACCGTTGCCATTGCCAGGTAATCATCAATTGTTTCCTCAATCACTGCTCGTGAAAAGGAGAACGGGGATTTTAACAAAAAACTTTCCAGGATGGGATATTTAAAATCGGCAGGCAAACGATGTCGAAAATTTATTCAAATCTTCTCTGAGCCAGTCAAGAACGTTCCTGTTTTGAAGGAAAGCTAAAAATGGCCAATATTTCACTGACGTTCATCATGTGCAAAAATTAATCACTTGATTAATGACGCAATTATCTAAAGTGCCTTGTAATCTCTTTACATACAGTGCCTAATATAAAATTTCCTCCAGTTCCAAGACCGCCATTCTACTACCCTCCTCTACCGTTGCCATTGCCAGGTAATCATCAATTCTTTCGTCAATCACTACTCGTGAAAAGGAGAAGGGGGATTTTAACAACTAACTATCCAGGATGGGATATTTAAAATCGGTAGGCAAACGATGTCGAAAATTTATTCAAATCTTCTCTGAGCCAGGCAAGAACGTTCCTGTTTTGAACGAAAGCTAAAAATGGCCAATATTTCACTGACGTTCATCATGTGCAAACATTAATCACTGGATTAATGAGGCAATTATTTAAAGTGCCTTGGAATCTCTTTACATACAGTGCCTAATATAAAATTTCCTCCAGTTCCAAGACCGCCATTCTACTACCCTCCTCTACCGTTGCCATTGCCAGGTAATCATCAATTCTTTCCTCAATCACTACTTGTGAAAAGGAGAAGGGGGATTTTAACAACAAACTTTCCAGGATGGGATATTTAAAATCGGCAGGCAAACGATATCGAAAATTTATTCAAATCTTCTCTGAGCCAGTCAAGAACGTTCCTGTTTTGAACGAAAGCTGAAAATGGCCAATCTTTCACTGACGATCATCATGTGCAAAAATTATTCACTTGATTAATGAGGCAATTATCTAAAGTGCCTTGTAATCTCTTTACATACAGTGCCTAATATAAAATTTCCTCCAGTTCCAAGACCGCCATTCTACTACCCTCCTCTACCGTTGCCATTGCCAGGTAATCATCAATTCTTTCCTCAATCACTACTTGTGAAAAGGAGAAGGGGGATTTTAACAACAAACTTTCCAGGATGGGATATTTTAAATCGGCAGGCAAACGATATCGAAAATTTATTCAAATCTTCTCTGAGCCAGTCAAGAACGTTCCTGTTTTGAACGAAAGCTAAAAATGGCCAATCTTTCACTGACGATCATCATGTGCAAAAATTATTCACTTGATTAATGAGGCAATTATCTAAAGTGCCTTGTAATCTCTTTACATACAGTGCCTAATATAAAATTTCCTCCAGTTCCAAGACCGCCATTCTACTACCCTCCTCTACCGTTGCCATTGCCAGGTAATCATCAATTCTTTCCTCAATCACTACTTGTGAAAAGGAGAAGGGGGATTTTAACAACAAACTTTCCAGGATGGGATATTTAAAATCGGCAGGCAAACGATATCGAAAATTTATTCAAATCTTCTCTGAGCCAGACAAGAACGTTCCTGTTTTGAACGAAAGCTAAAAATGGCCAATATTTCACTGACGTTCATCATGTGCAAAAAGTGATCACTCGATTAATGAGGCAATTATTTAAAGTGCCTTGCAATCTCTTTACATACAGTGCCTAAAATAAGAGTTCTTCCAATTCCAAGACCGCCATTTTACTACCGTCCTCTACCTTTGCCATTGCCAGGTAATCATCAATTGTTTCCTCAATCACTACTCGTGAAAAGGAGAATGGGGATTTTAACAACAAACTTTCCAGGATGGGATATTTAAAATCGGCAGGCAAACGATGTCGAAAATTTATTCAAATCTTCTCTGAGCCAGTCAAGAACGTTCCTGTTTTGAACGAAAGCTAAAAATGGCCAATATTTCACTGACGTTCATCATGTGCAAAAATTAATCACTTGATTAATGAGGCAATTATTTAAAGTGCCTTGCAATCTCTTTACATACAGTGCCTAAAATAAGAGTTCTTCCAATTCCAAGACCGCCATTCTACTACCCTCCTCTACCGTTGCCATTGCCAGGTAATCATCAATTCCTTCCTCAATCACTACTCGTGAAAGGGAGAAGGGGGATTTTAACAACAAACATTCCAGGATGGGATATTTACAATCGGCAGGCAATCGATGTCGAAAATTTATTCAAATCTTCTCTGAGCCAGTCAAGAACGTTCCTGTTTTGAACGAAAGCTAAAAATGGCCAATATTTCACTGACGTTCATCATGTGCAAAAATTAATCAGTTGATTAATGACGCAATTATCTAAAGTGCCTTGTAATCTCTTTACATACAGTGCCTATTATAAAAGTTCCTCCAGTTCCAAGACCGCCTTTCTACTACCCTCCTCTACCGTTGCCATTACCAGGTAATCATCAATTGTTTCCTCAATCACTACTCGTGAAAAGGAGAATGGGGATTTTAACAACAAACTTTCCAGGATGGGATATTTAAAATCGGCAGGCAAACGATGTCGAAAATTTATTCAAATCTTCTCTGAGCCAGTCAAGAACGTTCCTGTTTTGAACGAAAGCTAAAAATGGCCAATATTTCACAGACGTTCATCATGTGCAAAAAGTGATCACTCGATTAATGAGGCAATTATTTAAAGTGCCTTGCAATCTCTTTACATACAGTGCCTAAAATAAGAGTTCTTCCAGTTCCAAGACCGCGATTCTACTACCCTCCTCTACCGTTGCCACTGCCAGGTAATCATCAATTGTTTCCTCAATCACTGCTCGTGAAAAGGAGAAGGGGGATTTTAACAACAAACTTTCCAGGATGGGATATTTAAAATCGGCAGGCAAACGATGTCGAAAATTTATTCAAATCTTCTCTGAGCCGGACAAGAAAGTTCCTGTTTTGAACGAAAGCTAAAAATGGCCAATATTTCACTGACGTTCATCATGTGCAAAAATTAATCACTTGATTAATGAGGCAATTATTTAA